TTGTTCTAAAAACATTTTCATCAAAAAGACTTTAAGTTATTTTAAAAGCTCATTCGTACAAATCAATGTGCTATTCTCTATTCACCCGAATTTAAACCACTCTTATTTTGTTTAAACTAAAGCATCATGCTTGTATGCATAAAAAAAGGGGTAAATTACATAGTAACCTCTCAGGTTTGAGGTTTATTACAACCTCATACAACATCTTTAAAACATTTCACTTTCATACCTCATATACTATTTTATTTCAAAATAATACATCCGTTAGATTTTCCATCAATTGATTTGTTAAGCGCTGACATGGCTACCACATTTGTGCCACGTGGCAATTTTTTTTTAAAAAAAACCTAAATCTTATAAAAAAATTTAAAAAAAAAGCTGAAACCTTATCCCCCCCCTCTTCCTCCTCTCTTCTCCCCGCAACCCCCAAACCCACAAGCCTTATCCCCCCTCTTCCTCTCTTCTCCCCCATATTCATCTTCTTCCCCCTACAACGCAGAAAAAAAAAATCCTTCAGTTCGTCTTTCCCCCTCCTCTTCCCCTCTCTTCTCCCCCATCTTCATCTTCTTCCCCCGACCCCCTACCTGCAACCCAAAAAAAAAAAAAAAAAACCCAGATCCCGTCTACGCCACCTTCGCCGGGTTCGTGGGGTGGGAGGAATAGGTATGGATTTAAGGAGTGGGCGGTGTGTAGATGAGGGAAGAGGGTGGGTGTGGAGGGAGGGATGTGGGTTTCTGGGTAAGGTGGGTCATGGGGGAGGGAGGGTTTCCGGGGGGCGCGTGCGCGGGGGGGGGGTTGGTATCTGGTTTAAGGGGAGGGGGTGTGAGTTTTCTTTCATGTTTTGATTTTTTTTGCCACATGGCACAAATGTGGCAACCACATCAGCACTTAACGGATAAATTGATGGAAAATCTAACAAAGGTATTATTTTGAAATAAAATAGTACGTGAGGTATGAAAGTGAAATGTTTTAAAGATGTTGTATGTGGTTGTAATAGACCTCAAACCTGAGGGGTTACTATATAATTTACCCCAAAAAAATGTAAAAAGGGCAGGTTTTGGCCAAACTTATGAAAAGGCATTGGTAATTTCCAAAAAAAAAAAAAAGGAAAAAAAAAGGCATTGATGGGCAAGTGACTTTAAATTGGAATAGAGAAATTTTATTTAAACATATCTAACTTATTTCTATATCCAGCTTATTCTTTGCACTCATTTGATTTTTAACTAAACTATTAATATCTCTTTAAACCTAAATTAATAGCTAATATACCCCCATAAACCCAATTCAATATGTGAATTTATTTTTACACCCATTTGATTTTTAGAAGCTAAATTTGATGTGTTTAGACCTAAGTTTGCATGGTTTTCCACAACAAAAAAGTTGATAATTCAATTATTACTTGTAGAATATGCATGCATGCTAAAAATCACTGTGAAAAGCGATGTGTATAGTTATGGGGTTGTCCTTTTGGAGATCATAACTGGGAAAAGGCCAAAGAGGGCTACCACCCCAGTGGGGAAAGCTAGTACACACATACACAAAAACTGGAGAAGGCTACCTGTTGGGAGTGGTGACAGGTTGTGTTCGGGTAAATGCTTACCTGATTTTCTAACGGAGAAGAGTACCGCTCTTATAGCGTGGAAGCTACTACATAGATAACTTCTACCATAATTAACAGTTAGACTTGTGGTATTGAGTTAGTTTACTTGGTTTGCTTCTAGTGACAGAGGCTTTAAGTGCTTTAAGAGGAATTCAACTGGTGTCTCGTCTAATGGGTTTTAAGTGCACTTAGACATATTAAGAATGTGTCAACTAGCACAATTTTCACCTCACTAACACAAGCCCTATAGCAACCAGTGAAAATTGTATACAAATGAAACTTCTAAAATAGAAAAGCTTGTTGATTTCTTGTGTTTGCTCAATTAACGATTTCATTCATGCATCAGTAGTGTGCTGGATTCGAGCATATTTTAACATTACAAATGCCATAAGAAACTGAACTTTCAATTAAAACAATCAGTATAAAAGTAGCGAACGAGGAGTCCACTTATGGGCAATTCAACCAGTTACTAGGTCCTTCCACACCAAACATTTTTCATCGTTGGATGCTTTCGTTGTTGTTTTAGCTGGAAGGTAGGATGCTTTCGTTGTATTTGTTGAAAAAAATTACAGTAAAGTAACTTCTACACTCTAAAAATTTGAAATCAAACGAACAAAAAATTCACAAATTGAGTCTTACCTTGGTTGGATGATTCAAAACTTTAAAATCATCATCCATCAATAAATAAAAAACTTATTTTTCTTTATGAGAGCTATTAGGGTTTTAGCCAGAATAAATGTAAAATAAACAAAAAGTGATCGTATGGTTTAATTATAGTGTTTGAGTTTATTTATAAATTTGAGTTTTATTATTAATTTTATGTTGTACATAATAATAATTATGCAATAGGGTAAAATAGATAATTAACATTTAAAATTTAAATTGGGTGTAAAAATAGATTAAATGAGTTTAAATAAAAAATTTCATTGGAATATTATCTTAGCATCTACGATGACGGTTAAGATGTCTTGTTATCCTGATCTCCTGGTCAACCCCAAAAAAATAATTGAGCATAAAAAAAACAAAAAAAAAGGTTATCTTGGAAAGCAACTACAACAGCTAATATAAGTAAGATAAGATTAATCGATCTAGTTAAATTAGTGAGTAGGGGTACCTGGCGTGAAGATTGAGATTTGGGATGTCAGGCCCGTAGAGGGAGGAGGACTTGATGAGGCCAAGATCAGCAGTCAATGAGTTTCCGGAGGAATCATAGTGGACGGATTGAATTTTGTATCCATACCCAACTGCTGCTTCTGCTTCTGCTTCTGCAATTGCCTTTGCAGATGATATAAGACAGAAAATAGACGAGAAGAAGAAGAAGAATGGCAGATGCAGATGATGATACATTGGCTTTGGTGGATTCGATGATCTCTTTGTTTTCATAACTCTTGCGTTCTTCTACTAGTTGGTCTTCTGTGGAGTCGAGACTTTTTGATGAATAATTATTTACTTTTCATTTTGCATTACATGTGTGCGGTATGTATAGCTTTCATACGTAACCACGCACGCGTAGCGAGTCTCCACATCATTTGTATGGGTTTTTCCTGTGTTCTTTGGTAATTTTGTTCTTAATCATTATTATTAATTGTGAGAGTTATCTTTAGTCCCATCCTCGCAAAGAGGATCCGGCAATAATCCCCACTTACCTTAGTCAAGCATGTCTTTTGAAAATTCTTTTTTTAGTTGGTGGGCCATTTCATAAGCTAGTGATAAGAAAAAAATTTCTTTTTTTATTATTTTCTACTGCGCACATCTAAGAGGTTTCATCGATAAATTATAAAATAGCATAAGGATAAGGTTGGAAAGAGGAATTTAGGTGGATGAGAGGGCAATAGACAAGGATCCTCTCCGGAGGAAAAGGATCCTAGCCGGATCTTTTTTCTGAAGATCTTAGGGATCCTGTGATCATGAACGTTCATCCTACATCATGGGATCAATTTTCGTTAGGTAATATTTATATTTAATTTTAAATTTTAAACTTTGAAATGATTTCTGATCACACGATATACGATGAACGGTTACGATCAAGGAATCCCTAGGATCCTCAAGAAAAGAATTTGGCAAGGATCATTTTCCCTCTTCAGGTCCTCTTTGTGAGGATCCGGAGAATAAATCAACCGTGTCTATTCATCGTACATCGTGAGGCTAATTTTCATTAAGTTATATGGAAGAAGTTTAAAGTTTAGGATATCATCATATGAACTAATAAAGGTCAAGGCCAACAAAAAAGGCTCACATGGCAACAAGAAGGATCAAGCGATGAGGCCCGACGTTTAAAGCCAACTATTAAAAGAACACACAGCAATAATTTTTTTATTTATTTTTTATTTTTTTAAGTACATTTATATTTTTACATTAAGGACAGTAAGAGTTCGGTTAAGCTAACAATGAGCAGCCTAATTTGGTATCGATTTTGCCATCCACGAGATTCGAACCTAAGATCTCTCACTTGCAAGTGAAGATGAATACTACCAGACCGTAATACTGAGTGATTTTTTTTTTAATTTTTGAACAAACGATATTATCTACTCTAAGGGAAGAGGGTGGGCTTAGTCTCACAATGTGCTAGTAATAATGTGGTTCAAATTTGACTTTGGCAAGAATCGAACATAAGACCTCTTACTTACAAGTGAAAGTGAATACCCCTAGATCATAATACTAAGTGACCATACAGTAAGAATATTAGAACAAAACATTTGAAACTAAAGACAAAATTACATAAGGACTATTGACAACAGTCCTTTGACTTTGCCTTTCAAATAGAAATATAGGTTGAAAGTTGTGCATTGTTCTGGTGGTTAGAATTTTTTTTTTATTCATTATATTCTAAATTCAAACTCTAGTGTGTAATTTAGTATAGAAATATTGTTTATAATAAAAATAATAATGCTAGACACACCCAATTTTTTAATCAAATAATGTGTTGCCAATCAATTTTTTACTTTAAGTTAGACTTTGATTAGTAATTGTAACAAAAATTTATATAGCGTAAAATGTGTCACATCATTTGGTGCTTAAATTGAGTGTATATAGTATCACTTGTTTGAGAAAATTAAGAATTAAAATAATGGTAATAAATATCATAACATTATGATTTATTACTTATTTTCTTTTAATTTTCTTGCTTTGAATATTATGATGGAAAGTAATGAAAATATTCATAAAACAAAATAAATAAATTAAAAGAAAAAGAAAGTTTGAGGATAAGCTTAGTAGACATAAAATATGTGTTGTACCAAATTGGAAATTACCAATGACAGCTCAAAAGGGCATCAAACTTATTTATTGTGGAAGGGCAATATAGTCAGAAAGAAATGGGACGAATAGTAACGGCTAGTTGGAAAAGTTGCCGTTGGATGTGGATACGTGAGAACCGGGAACAAAAAGCACGCTCTCCTATAAAGCAGATTCAGAAGATTTTGCCCTGTTGTTTTGGTTTGTTTGGACTTTGTTGCCAAACTTTCTCAACTCCCCAAAAGTTCCCAAGTTCTCAACTCTGCTGGGTTCTCACTCACTCAGTCCACCATGAACATCTTCAAGAAGAAGACCTCCCCCAAAGGTTTCCTCTCTCTCTAGGGTTTCATTAGTTCTTTTCACTGATTAGGGTTTTTGCATTGCCACTGTGTTTGGTGGGTGAGGAAATGTGGAAGAAGAAATGGGTTCTTCTTATTTTTGATTCTCAGAGTTTTTGTGGGGTTTTCTAGTTTTTGCAGACTTATTATTGCTGGTTGTCTGTTTGGTTAAATTTGTGAATGCATTTGTTAAATTGGTTGTGTATTTGAACAGAGGCTCTCAGGGAAAGCAAAAGAGAAATGAGTGTTGCTACAAGAGGTGTGTTTTCTTCTCTTTATATTGTTTGAATTTGCTTCAAAATTGCTGATGATATGAAATGCTTGTTTTATTTTGTCTATTGAATCTCTGCAAATTTAGTTTCCTGTCATTTCCTTGGATTTGTGTATAAAAACGAAAAAACATGCTATCAATTGTTCCTTTTAATTTCCATGCTTTTCATGGTTTGCTCCGTTATTTGTCGGGAATCGGAGGAGCTCAGAATCTACAATTTCTTCAATCACAAAGTTCCAAACTTTTTCAGTGTACTGCAGCTAAAATTATGTATTACTCTTGGTTGGAGGCAACAAATTGAAACTACAACATTTAGTGGTTTAACTTGTTTTTCTACCCTGCTCCCATTTTCTCTTACAGGTATTGAACGTGAGATCGCATCTCTTCAGTTGGAGGTACATGTTACAATTACCCTGAACCTTCTGATTGATTATGTTTTCTGATGCTTCCCTCAGCGTCCTCATTGTTTCTGCATTTCAGGAGAGGAAATTAGTGGCGGAGATCAAGAAAACGGCTAAAACTGGTAACGAGGCAAGTTTACTATTCCGTTTAAGTTACTCTTTCCTCGTACTAGTTAATATGGGAATTAGCTGTATTCACTTCCAAGGGGCGATCGGCCTCATCGTATAGGTTTGCAACCTTGAAGATCAAAAGTATGCAGCTCAACATATTTTTCACAATATGATTTGGATGTGTTGATTAGTATTACCTTACCACGTCTTTTGAATCTAGTTCTTTTATTTCAACCATTTGACTTTTAAGACAATTTCATGCACGTAGATTGATGCCGGAGTAGCCATCCAAAACTATATTAGGAGAAAACTAACCTACATAAATTTGCTCCATTACCGATACATTACCAAACTGAGCTGACTTGTTTTCCAATGTTACTCTGTGGAATTTGACAAACTATGAGAGGATGATCCTTTACACGAATAGATACTGCATACCGCATACTATATGTAGATGGATGAATGTTCTGCAGGTTAGCTTGTGCAGTAAGCTGGCAAAACCCTGTCAGTCATGTTGTTGGACCTAATCATTCATTTTTAACATTGAATTATCAACAAGTTTTATCCAGGCTGCCACCAAAATCCTTGCTCGTCAACTCGTTAGACTACGTCAACAGATTACTAACTTGCAAGGAAGTCGTGCCCAAATAAGAGGTGTAGCTACCCATACACAGGTCAGCATTGTATGCTTTGAATTAAGTTAAAAGATTATGATAGGCGAGCAACTGTCTGAGTGTCGGTATCCTTGCAATATGTTTGCAGGCATTGTATGCAAGCACTTCTATTTCCACAGGCATGAAAGGTGCAACTAAAGCAATGGTGGCAATGAACAAGGTATAGATATCAAGAGAATTTCAGATGATTAAAAATTTGCAGATTTACTAGTTATTACCATGTAATAGTCCTTTAAACTTTATTATTATTAATTGATTTTCTTATTTGGAATCATCTAGACCAGCTCTTGGAATTAACCAAGTATTGTTGTCATTATCTATTTCTCTTTTCAGCAAATGGAACCTGCAAAACAAGTTAAAGTGATCAGAGAATTCCAGAAGCAGGCAGCACAAATGGATATGACGGTAATACTTATAGTTTCTGGTAATAATTTCTTGGTTAATTCAATGTTGGTTTTAATCAAATGAACACACAACTTGAACCTACCATGTCCGAAGGAAATTACGCTCGCCATTTTCCTCCCTGATTGTTCTACTGTCATGTTCGAGAATGCACATGTGTAAAATATGACATCCTATTGTCATCTATGCGCATATGTGTAAAATATGACATCCTATTGTCATCTATGCAGATAGAAATGATGTCAGAGTCTATTGATGAAACCTTGGACAAAGATGAGGCTGAAGAGGAAACAGAGGAGCTCACCAACCAGGTGGAGTATCGGCATCCTTATAGTAGTTTTGTTTTTCTTGTACAGGTATATCAGCATTATCTTATTAATCCAGAACTCAAATATTTCATTTTTCAGGTGCTCGATGAGATTGGTGTTGATATTGCATCGCAGGTTGGTGCTTTGAGATTGATAGCTCACATGAGTTTGCTTGTTTTTCTTTTTTGTTTTAAACCAACTACTGCTTTTTGATTCTTGTTCTCGTTCCTTACAGTTATCTTCAGCTCCAAAAGGCAGAATTGCATCGAGAACTACTGTAAATGTAGCTCCGAGGAATGCTGAAAATGTCGCTTCAAGGAATGCTGCTGAAAATGTAGCTTCAAGGAATGCTGAAAATGTAGCTCCAAAGAATGCTGCAAATGTTGTTAACAGGTATGTTCATTGACTATTAGAAACACCAAATGATTTTTCCTTCTTTAGAACTCAGTAATTTGTGTCATGATTAGGATTTCAGAAGTTTATATTTTGTATTTAGCAGTGGACTGAATTGTTTGATTTTTCGAAGTGAAAAGCACCTGTACTGAAAATGATTCATAAGCGCGTAAGAAAGTAGATGGACATAACAGGTTGACATTACTTTTCTACATAGAAGGCATCATCATATTTTTACACGAAACTGTTGCCAACAGGTTGACTTTTTTTTTAAATTAAAGGCATCATCAGATATTTACACTAAACTGTTGCTAACTTGCCTTAATAAACCAGTATTGCTTGAGTCAAATTCAGAAGATTGCTCACATCATCAGTACCTTTGAGAGGGCTTAAGCATGTCTATAGTTCACGACCGTTTTGGCGTGGTTTTCATAGAGTTGGTGCATTGTATCATATTGAAAGGTTACCTACAGTTGACTTTTTTCCTTATTTTGATAGATTGTTGTAGTAAAATGCTAGCATGAAGTAGGTGGACACAACAGGTTGATTTTTATAAACAAAAGGCATCATCAGATTTCTGTGAGAGTCTTCTGCCAACTTTCCATGATTAATTATCATTGCTCGAGTTTGAGTCGTAACTTGAAGAATGATTGTTCACATAGTCGATACCATTGAGGGGGTTAAGCATATCTCACATAGTCGATACCATTGAGGGGGTTAAGCATATCTCACATAGTCGATACCATTGAGGGGGTTAAGCATATCTGATGGTATCACTGAAGTTTGAAATTATTGACTTCCTTTCATATTTGGGTAGATGCTTTGAAAGCTGATTTGGTGCCAGGAAATTGATCAAAAAGCCCATGTTTTGAAATTATTGATTTTCATTCGTTTTGGTTTTGTTTTGAAATCACGTTTGGATTGGATATTTTATTAGATTCAATGTATGTTGAAGTAAGAAATGAATCCCAACTTTCAAATTATGTGCAACTGGAAAGGATATTGAGTCATGAAGAAAACTTATTTCTTTCAGTTTCCACAAGTTAGTAGGATTGGACGGGATTCCTTCATGACTAATGCATACCTTCAAAGGTATCATTAGATTTCTACGACAAACTGTTGCCAACTTGCCATGATAAACTAGTATTGATTGAGTTTGAGTCGTAAGTAGAAGAATAATATATGCTCACATGATCAAAACCATTCTGGTCCGTTTTCATGTGGTTTCCATATAATATCTAACATTCTATCTTAACTGTATGCAGTTCTGAATCATCTGACGTTGAGGATCTTGAGAAGAGGTTGGCCTCTCTGCGACGTTTGTGATCCTGTTAAGCATGCGGTGCGCAGATCCCGATCATCATAATCATAGTACATCTGTTCGTGTAAATTTAATCAAATTACAAAGCAAAACCATATAAAAGAAGAATATATTGTAATAATAGTAGGATTCCCTGGATGACATATTTGTTTCAGCAACTATTTGGATTGGATGGAGACGCCTTCTACCATATAACGAAGTTGTTAGTTTTCATGACACGGTGGTGCCAAACATATTTGCTTTCTTTCACACTCTCTCTGTTCTAAACATTTGTTGTCACTGTGATCATGTTACCATATTTGCTTTCTTTCTATTTTATTTTATTTTTCTGAAAACTTGAACAAAAATTTGTAGCAGGTGGTCAATATTTAAACTTTGGTAGGCCAACCATGGCAAACTACTGTGGTATGTCAATTTTGGGTAGAAATTGCTAGGAAGCCATTAACTAACGTGCGATTAACATCAAATGGCTTGTTTGAACAGTCCCATCTTTTTTCTTTTTTTTTTTAATTACGAGTGATATTAGTTATCTAAGCTAGACTAAATAGAGGGCTAATTAAGGTGGCCAACCTTGGCAACTAAGTATGAGCTCATTTTGTTGTGCTTTTTAAATGATTGAAAGCGTTTTTAGAGAAAATATTTTTTGGGTTTTAAAAGCACTTTAAGTGCTTTCAGGAAGCACTTTTAAGTGCTTTTTTTTTCAGGATTTACTAGTATTCTTACCAAGGATTGTTTTTAAAAATATTTCACCAAAAACTTTTTCAGTCATTTTAAAAACACATCCAAATAAGCTCTATATTAATCGGAAGGAGCGCTAATTTTTACATTAGCTCTCCTACTTCAACATGAAATTTACAAAATTGAAAAGGGGTTATTGATGAAGACATGATATTGCGATTCCTCATTACATTAAGGGGAAAAAAGGAATATGATATTTGAAAGCAGAGAACACAGTTCACGGTTTGATTGCTTGTCTAGTGACGTCGAAGGCGAACTGGAAGCCCTTTCTCTGGTGTTGGCATCATATCACCTGTGATCTTCTCCTTGGGAAACAGAACTTCCCATTCGAACCTCTTCACCACGTTGTGAACGAAAGTGAGTATCGCTAGACGAGCGTACTCTTTCCCGGGGCACATTCTTGGCCCTCCTCCAAATGGAACAAGTGTGAAAGCCGGGAATGCGTTTAGGTCCTCATATCTTGATGGATCAAACTTTTCGGGGTTGGGGAAGTACTGTGGGTTCATGTTTGTTGTACTCACTGTCCAATATACCTTCCAGCCCTTCGGGATGGTGTAACCTGCGTAGGTAAAATCTGTCAAGGCCTCTCTAAATGTCCCCTGAAGTGGCGGTGTGAATCTCATCACTTCATACAACACATTCCACGAGTACTTCATTTTGTTGATGTCTTCCCACTCCAAAAAGTCTCCTGGCTTCTTCGAGTCTGCAATCTCCTTGTGCTCTGAATTCAACAAGAAAAATCAAATTTTAGCACCAAAAAAATGTGACCAATATTCCCCAAGTTCAATAGGCAAGACCAAAATTAATGAAATGAAGTAGAAATGTTAAGTTGGAGTGGTTGGTAATTACCAGCTAGGACCTTGGCATAAATGTCTGGCCTCTCTCCAACATATTTCATGAAGAAAGTCATAGCAGTGGCCACAGTGCTATATCCTGCAGTCAATAAACCCATGATCTTGTCTGCAACCTCAGCCTCGGGCATGTGTTTACCGGATGGATCACTAGCCACGATCATATGTGACAATATATCATGCATGGGACCTCCTGCGGCCATTGCAGCCTTCTTCTCCTGAATCACAATCCTCAACTCCTTTCGCAGCGCGTCGGCTGCTTTGGTTGCCTTATAGAATGTTGTTCCTGGGAAGTTGATAATAAGTGAATGCATCCCAACAGTAACATCATCAAAATTGCTCACCAGCCTTGCAATTCGCTCGGAATCGTCGATCCCCAAGAAGAATCTGCAGGCAAGACTTAGAGTGAGTGTCTTGGCCAAAGGGTAGACCTTGACCTCATCTTTGCCTTCCCAATAGGCCTTCATCTGCTCCTGAGTGATAGAGTCCATTTTCCCCAAGTACCTCACCAATGCTTCCGGCTTCAAAAACCCCGGCGATCTTATAACTTTCGATTCTTCATCGCGAGAAGGTTGTGCCACAGCGGGGGCAGCAGAAGCAGTGGGGGCGGCAGCCTTGTATGATCGAAACATCTTTTGCATCGAATGTGGTCGAAAAGCTGTGAAGTACTTTTGTTCATTGGAGAACAGAAATTTGTGTCCACTAGGACCACAGATCACTGCAGTTTTCTCTCCAAGAATATAGGTCTTGAAGATGTCAGGAGAGTACTTCCTCATCCTCTTGAACACAAAATTTTCCGGCTTCCCGAACAAGAACTCGATTGATTCACCCACAATAGGCCACCCCATGCTCCCTGGTGGAAGATTTTTTCCATCATCTGATTTGCCCTTGAGTGCAAAGATGGTAAAGGCTAAGAAAGCAGCACCCACAGAAAATATAAGGTAAAGGGTCTCCATGGCTGGAATTTGGTGCTGATCAAGGCTCAAATTTCTTATCAGAGACTGATTGAAGTTAGCAAGAGGAGTGGTGTGTAGGAAGCTTGGAAAGTTAGGGGTTTTATAGGGAAAGATCCGGCGGTGTCAACACTTTGATTTAGCCGTAGCACACCAAAGGTGACAAGCTTAAAATATTATTCAGAAAGGATGGCTTGGTTTGACATAAATAAAATATTCAAACTTCACATGCGGTATATATTCATACAAAAACGCATAGTTACTTGCTCCATTGAATGTATAGATACCAACCCTTGGTTTATTGTAAATGCAATTTATTCTGATACATGCAGTCTGTTTGGTTTTCTTTGTGTAACATGTTTAATTAATTAATCAATTAATTAATAGAGTTTTACTCTTTTTTTTTTTACTTTTTTTTTAACAAACGATATTATCTACACTAAAAAGAAGGAGGTGAGCTTAATCTCATAATGGGCTAGCAACAATGTGGTTCAAATTCACCTTTTGACGATAATCAAACTTAAAACCTCTCACTTACAAATGAAGAAGAATACCACTAAACCGTAGTACTAAGTGACTTACTTTTTATTAAAGCAAACATGTCTTGCTCAAACAATTGATGCCTAGCATTTTTATTCCACTTACATGGAATCAACCAGTAACTAAGTCAATAAGTGACTAAGAGCATTCACCTTTTCACCCGAAATTTTGTGTTTCTCCCAAATAGTCCAAACATATATTGCCAAATTTGGTTGCCTAATAAACTGATTAGTTAATACCACCAATATGAAATGGGACACATATTAGAATCTTTGGGGATGGGGGATAAATAATAAAAAAACAACAGGTATCATGTTCTCCAATCCACAAGTGTAAATTGCCCTTCTAAAGAGGCCTCTCCCAAAATTTATTGCTAGGTGGTCCTTCAATTTTCTTTTTCTCATTGTAAACTGACTACTCCTGGTTCCTGTTCCAAACATCTTCATCCCCAAAATGCATAACTGCATCAAGAAATGCTGAAAAAGTGGTGGGAAGGAATTTGCAGATGTTAGCAGTTAAGTGTTCATGAAAGGGTTTATGGCCACAGCTGAAACCTTTTGCTGGAATTCTCTACTTAACTACTGCATTACTAAATTGGCTTTATAAAAGATCTTCCATAATTGGTTTTATAAAAGATCTTCAGGGACTTTCGATTACACATCTACTCATCTGTATCTTCGTTATTCATCTAAGTGTTAGCTTAAGATTGTTGAGTATCAATCTCACATGCACTTAGTTATACTTAATTGGGCTACTCTCTATAACCTCATCTTTCTTCAAGACCTCATGTTTGCTTGGAAGCTCGTTTTGATTGGAGATTCCAATCCGAATTGAAAATTTCCATTCTGAGTCTAAACATTTCCAATTTCGAAAATTTCCAAAAAATTTAGATGGCAATTGAAATGTACCTATTCGATCTAAAATTTCGAAATTTCTCAAAGCTTAGTACATAAAAAAATTATGCTTTATTTTGTATTTTGTATATTTAATTATATTTATTTTATATTAAAAAAAGAATAATCATACGCACTATTTATTATGTCTAATATGATTTTATGTCATATACACATGTAACTACCTACAAATATAGTAAAAATGGTGGATATATAAATGTTTGAAAATTTTCAAAGTCTTGCAAAATGTAGGAAATTCAAATTATGTTCTGAAAATTCTGAGATAAAATCAATTCTGTAATTTCAATAATCCCAAATTCTGAAATTAGAATTAATATCTTATTCTAAAACTTTTTTGGATTGGCATTGGAATGCTTGTTTCTAATCTGGTCTGATTGAAAATCACCCATAGGTGTAACACTTAAACTGTAATAGTCTTTAGGTTTTTGTTTTTTTTGTTTTTGTTTCTTTTTTTCCAAATAGTCTTATAGGGTTTTGGCAAAAAAAGATAAAACATAGGTTTTATTTTTATTTTTTATGCAACGATATGTTTGCACTAGGTGAATAAATAAATTAGTTTTGAATTTGTCATTCAAGATATTCGAACCTAAAATCTTTCACCGACAAAACTTAGGACTCTTTAAAGATACAATGATATATTTATAATTTATACTAAACAGTGGAGAAATTAACTATCATTTATCCACATCTCATGATTTAGGTGTGAAATTCTTCGACTCCCTTCTACTAAAAGAGTACACATGGGTTATGGAATTTTTCTCTAGAGTGCATGTGTGAAACCCAGTTATATAATTATAAATATTAATATTGAATTGCCAAGGTACTAAATATCTCATACATTATCGAAATATCCATAAAATTAGGTTGTCCATACCCGAAAGGATGTGAAGCAATATTTTTCTAAGATCTTTTTTCAGAAATTTCAGAGACATTTTGATAATATTGATTGACTGTTTCGATAATATTTTGATAATTTGGTGCAATATCGGGCAAAATTAGAAGCAATATCTGTCTAAGAGATTACCATTTCCAAACATAATTTATATGTTTTATATCTAGTTTTTAATATTTTTATACTAATATTTCCATCAATATTTATATATCTTTCTATAATTTCTACATTTAGCCTACCGAAATTGAATCTTTGGGTGTTACATGCACCTCCTGAAAAACAGTCCCCCGGCAATTGAGAAGTTTTCGACCCAAACAAAAGAAGTAGAAATCAAAGTACGCAGTG